GACACAATGGCAGGCGAAACAAGACACATTCCGTCATACATTCATTTATGTGAAATGCATGAGTTCTAGTTGTCTGCGCGTGTGTGTGTGTGCTTCTTTTTGTTGTGTGGTGAACCCATATGAATGTTTCCTTTCGTCGTCTAGAGGTAGACGAGTGGAATTTGGATTCATGGAAGAGCACTCGTATTCATTTGGCGAGGGGTGTTCAACGTCTGCGTCAGGCTTGTATTTCTGCATAGCCCCACTAAACTAAACTCAACGACTCTGACTTTTTGCTTTTAAATACAAAATAAACCGACCGAAAAAAAGAAATTTCACAAACACACTCAAATTTATACAATGTGTAAACGCCATAACGTTTGGCTGTGTATGGGTGTGTGTGTGTGTGTGTGTAACTGCAACACAATGCATGTTAGAATGTAAGAAGTACATTACTGTGTTACTGCTGTATAAGTACTGTATTTCAGTCAGTTTTGTGCCACAACACTAACACCAACAACAACGAGAACCGTATAAGTAATGCGAACACTTCTCATTCGAAAATGTAACAATTCACATACATTTGCGTACGAAATTTACAGACAAATTGAAATACAGATGTGTTTGAATTCAAAATTGTTTTCGACAGTAAATCCTTGAAAAATGCAGTGGCAACAAGTAAAGTCAGCCTTAGTACCCTTCACCATTTGGAAAGTAACATTTTGGAAAACATATGTCTATAAGTGCCTAGTTCAAGGGTGATATATGTTATTTCAAATTTACCAAATATTGAGCAATTCCGTTAGAAAATGTCGAAAGAACCATTATCTGGGACCATACTAAAACACGGACCCATTACGTACGAAAATACAAAATTTTAAACAATTCTGTTTATTCATCAAAATACCGAATACCGGAAAGTACAGTTATGCATATGTGCGAATAATACGAAGGGGCGGGTGTAAAGGATAAAAATTCGATGTCTAGACTTTAAAGTAAGTATTACATAAAACGAACTTGCGGGTAATAGTAACATCCCTCAATGCGATACGATGTGAATTCTGTGCTCATTTATGCAACAGGACTGTCCAGAACACTATTCTTAATATAAGAGCATTTCTTTGAACAAAATTGAAGTTAGTTGGCAAGCAAGTTTATGTTTTGGTGTTGCTTGTGGGTTCATATAGAAAGCTTTAACCGGTCTTCTATGCATAGTTAGATTTGCCCAGGACATTAGTGACACATTTCACAATGATCCCTTCCCCTTCGGCACACTTCCAGGAGGGTGGCAGTAGCAGAGGCACACATATTCTCCTCTGCAATGACAGTTTTTTTATATTAACTTTTTGTATTCATGGTGCATATTGTTAGACATCCCTTGAATTTATACGATTTAGACAAACACCAGTGTGCGTGTGTGTGTATGTGCGCATTGTCAGTGAACGGAAATGCACATACTGCCAAAAGCAACACAGGCGACAGTAACATTTCTCTGCTGGAACTTTGAACATTATGACAAGAAATCTTGTTGACAGTAATTGTAGAGAAAGTACATTCTCTGTCACAAGCAGGCTTGGTCGCACATTGCGGATCACTCCTTTTGCAGCATACAGGATAATCGTCCTTTATTGAAAACAAGCAAAGACAACAGGGCTAGCCAGAGCCATATCTGAAATTAATTTTCAAATGAAAGTTGCAGTCATACACTACCAAATTTCCAAAAGATAAACACTTACAACCAATTACGTATAGACAGACTGTGTCAACGTGAAAAAGACTGGAAAAGGACGACTTCCAAAACACCAACATTAGCTTTGTTCTACTTTTGTAATGTAATGTAAATTTAATTGAAATACTTGCAAACATTTACTTAAGCATAGCCACAAAAGTTGATTGAAAAATGCAATGTTTAAATCAAACAATGAGGTAGTACAGAGGTTTTACATATTTCTCTGAAATATCATATCGAATTATTTATTACCTATAAACATATGTTTGTGTGCTTTATCTTGAAAATATTAATTATATTTAAATGTCAGCAAACAAATAAATAATTAAAATATGATTGGGTTCAATTGAAAATGTAATGCAAATGTTTAGGAAAATACTGTTGCAACTATATTCATAAAGAAATTATTATTTTAATTAAAAAAGGGAAACATAAGTGATTAAATTCCAGTGACACATCTACAAAACAATTCCAGCCAATCAAACAGCCGATATCGCATTCGAATTCAGACCGAAAGTCATATTGAGACATTTAGTTACAATGCACGTCATGTGGGTACAAAACCCAAAAATAAATAGACAATTATCACAAAAAATTACGTATCAGATGAGGCAGGAATCTGAAAAAAGTAGGATACACGCACACAGACAGAATCTCGCACTTTGGACAAAAACTATATGCGGTTTTTCTAATCAAAGTCAGGTATTTTTGGACATATCACATTTTAGTTTGGCTACGGCAAAAAGAGCTTTTTGCGACAGGTGTGGAAACATTTTTTATAAGTTAAACATGTAACGTGGTGGATTCGTCACATGCTTTGTTCAAAGCATACAGTCGTACCCATTACACTAATAACAGCAACAATCAATCAACCAGGACAACTTACACACCAGAACATCCGACGAGAACAGCATCACCCATCCAGTCAAGTATTCTGCTACCGTAAAAATGTGTTTACTGCATAAGATAAATAATTCTTGTTTACTTGGTCTATAAATTATTACGACCAGTTTGTTGGCGATAGAAACCGCATAAATCATTTGCTGTCCTAAACTAATAAAATTATTAGTTTAAAATACCTTTTGGATCTGTATCTCATTTAGTTGAGTGACACAGAAGCATCGGCTTGTTATTTTGCAGTAGTTCAAATATTGGTAGTGAATTAGAGATAGAGATAAACTGTAGAAGTACCTAGTCAAAACGACCAAAACGCGAACGGTTATATGTGTTCACGATTCTTCTTAATGGAACCGGACATCCCCACAGTGGCTGCCGATCTCATTTCGAGTAATTACAAAAAGCAAGCTGCCCTGAGTGATTAGCCGAAACCGAATTGTTATGCATTTATGTTACACTACCTGGACACCTCTACAATGAGTTGCCGATAGAAACAAGAACGACTTTATAACTAGTTCCCGACTCATATTTTATCACGAGGACACCATCCCTCAAACTTTTCGAATATCTTTAGATCTTCTGTAACGTACACTTCGTCTATAAAGTTAACATAATATCAAAATTCCTGGTCATCAATCATTAGATTTCCTGATTGCCTATCAATCGTCAGGAGTGGGTCAATTTTACGCACCTGAACAAAATCTGATATAATACAATGGACTGCGAAGTTTCAACAAATCGAATTGCCTTTACGATTTGTAATTTGCTGAAATTACGAATTTTTGTAGGGAGGTACCAGTGTAAGAGGTCCATTGTGACCCATTTTGCTTTAGTATTGGTACAAAATTACAAATAGGGGATATATATTTGGACAGGGCCGATCATTTGTTAATCTTCAAAACTACAATTTTACCGCAAACTCTGCTGAATATTAAAATTCCTTGACTAGAATGAAGATTCATAAAGAAACAAATGTTGAATCCAATTACTTCTCTTTTAGAATAATCATCATAAATCTGGAACCAATATTTTCCAAAAACATACGATCTGAAAATCATAGGTATTTAACGAACATATATTCCTACAAAAAATATCTGATTCGCCCATTCGAACAAAACTGAAGAAAAATTTTACATACAAAATTCAAAAATTCAAGCGAGATAGTGTGATTTTTTATATTTAGCTGGAAAACCACAAGTGGCTATCGTTAGAGCACTCCAACATTTAAATTTGAATAAATCTTTTGTGTCTCGTACCATCGCACGTTACTCTGATGGAAGAAACCCGCGTCGCAGGGGCGGAAAATGGCTCGTGAGCTGAAAATATCGTAATATTCCATTCGGCAAATATTGAAAAATGAGCTCGGATTAAAGCCATTGAAATTCCAAAAAAGTGCAAGATCTTACATCGCAACAGAAAGAAAATAGATTCAAAGGAGCTAAAGAGTTGCTTCGCTTGGCTAAAAATGGTGAACTGCCGAATTTGGTTTTCTCCGATGGGAAAAGATTCGGTGTTCAGCAGTTTGTAAACAAACAAAATGATCGAGTTTACTTGCCAAAGAGATCAGCTGAAAATGTGTACCTTCGGTTGGCCACCAACTCAAGTGCGGGCCGCCATAACAGACGATGGTCGCTATCCGCTCGTATTAATCGACCGTGGCATCAGAATAAATGCCGAATATTATCGCGAAAATATTCTGGAGGGAGTATTAAAGCCTTGGGCACGCAAACATTTTTGCCACAGACCTTGGACATTCCAACAGCACGCGCCACCTAAGAATGGTTACAAAATGAGGTATTGTGGTTTGTTTATTTGGTATTGAGGTTTATTTCGGAGCTAGGCCATTTCTCAATTACCATGACATATATGATTTATTTCAATCAAAAATATTAATTGGGTTTAATTGCAAACGTATTTCCCTATCTAAGTATGTAAAAATGTCCCCAAATGGTGGAAATTGGTCGATAGGATTATTTTTTCTCCGTTATATTCACCAGTAAGGAAGTTGATTATGGAATTGCAATCAGAACAAAGTCCAATGTTATAATTTAAAGGAACGGCCTCTGTGATTCGTCCATTATATAAATAATTTAATATCCGTATTTCATAACTCATATCGGTTTAGAAATATTTTCCCATAGACGCAATTTCAAGAACACAAAATAAAGTTTAAAGAATACGATTATCGCACCATTCAATTACAGATGCAAATCAAACTAAACGACAATGGTGAAAAAAGTTTGCATCTGTGCGTAGCATCGATGCAGAAAATCAAAGTTTCAATCTATGTTTTCTGTCATTTCTCCACAGCGCATTGAAATTAAAATTGCAAATTTCGTTGCTTTAATAATGAAAATGCTTCCTTTTTCTCCTTTTTCTTCCCCCTTCTATTTAGAGATCAGCAGCAGTATTTTTGCCATCCGCATCAGTAGATGTGCCTGAGAACTCAACGGAAGGAAATAGACCAACGAAGCAACTACCAAAACGGCAACAACACAAAACCACCTACAACCCAATAATCTACCTACATGCAACTAGAAAAGACTCCCTAAGAAACCGAACGTTGTGTAATAACTACTTCAGCAAGAAAATAACAATAGGAGCAAACAACAAAAAAAAACATATCGGACTACAGAATCCCCTCCGAATGAGTGAATCAAAGTGCAAGTGACATTCCGCGAATAATCCAAGTCCTGTGTGCCACGACCGAGCGTAATTTCCATAATTGAACAGAGCCACCAAATGTAAAGCACCAAACGAGAAATCAACATATCTTTGGGTTTGCGTTCGTTCCAAAAAGAGATTCAAACGCGAAATAAGCAGAAAGAAAAAAACTAAAATTCGATTATAGTTGACCCCCTTCAGACATCATCTATCATTCGGCAACAACAAATGCCATCACTTGATATCCTTGCCATGGGAGAATAGAATAAAAGAAACGACATTTCATTCGACCAAGGGATCACAAAAAGTAGAAAATACATGAAAAATGATACAACCTAATACGATTATGACCAACAAAAATATTCGCACAATAGGAAAGCATCATATTATGGACCAATAACAATAAGCATTACAAAGCAAAGCAAAGGAAGTGTACAAAAAGTGCAGGACGATAAAAAGAAATCCACAACAAAAACGCAAAGAAAAGAAACGAAACGAGGAAACCCATCAGCATCTATCACAAAAACGAGCAGAAGTGTACAAAAGAAACACAATCGAATTAATTTTATTGTCATTGCAAAACAATACAATCGCTCACACACACAAACACGTGTCAAACGAAGAAAAAGTATATGAGCGAAGAAAAAACCCGCACTCAAGAATTACAAGCAAAATAACACTTTAAGAGCGACATTTATTCCCATGCGTCATTTGTCATTGCAACAATTGTAGGGCGATAAAGCGCAGAGTCATTGCCAACCCCAACAACACAAACAACAAAACCATTGAGACAGAACGATTTGTTCAATTCGCATTTATTGACCTCTTGGTAAATAGTGGTCGTTAACATTGCCAGCCAACGATCCAAGGGGCACGATCATACTGCCGACTCTACACGAATAGGACACGAATGCTAAACGTGTGACAAACGCCTTCGGGTTCTCCTCCACCGCACCAATATCATCATTGGTCCTGTAGCAGGAAGTACAATTGAAGGAGCTGCCACAAATGTTGCCCACATTAACGCCAATGCATTTGCTGGAATTACGTCTCATCTTACTTTGCCTGCCATCCATTCTACTGGCCACAACACTGGAGCCAGGTAGGTGCAACTACTTATTGAAATACATAAAATTGAACAATTTTGAACTTTATGTTGATTTGATTTTTTCGTATTTTTGAAATTCAAAATAGGAGATACTAGTTATTAACGTTTGTACTTCCAAACACAAAGTGCGGAAATTATGTTTTCACCTTCGCAAATCTCTAGCTAAACTAGAAAGTAAAGGAATAATATCTGGGGGACAATTATATGATACTCTTCTCCACGAATTAACTTGTCATGCAAAATGTACAACAAAACGTCCGCCACTCACTGTCAGTTTGCTAACATCACTTAGGAGCGTTTATGAATGCGTACGTATATGGCAAGTACTTTTTATATCCTACACCACATAGTGGTAAGGGTATTATGTCTTTGTGCATTTATTGTTACTTTTGAGGATCTTCATAGAATCACTTTCTGAGTCGATTTATGCAAGTCAGTCCTTTTGTCCATCCGCTTATGTATTTTCGTGAACAAAATGCAAGTCGCATTTATTATCCAATTGAAATGAAATTTTCCAAACGATATTTGTTTGGCCCAAGAACGGACCCTATTGAAATTGGTGAGAATCGGTTCAAATTTAGATATAAATCCGTTATACATCTTAAACCGATTTCGGGTTAATTGTGTGCCAAATGGCCAATATCATTTCGAATGACACATCCAAATGACCTGAATTTTGGCACATCCGACAGAATTCAGTCTAGAAGCAAGCACATTAAATTTGGTAAAAAACAGGTTCACATTAAACTATAGCTTACATATATATGTTTCCTCCGATTTTGTGTTTAAGTCCCTCACATTCGCAATATGCACCCCACAAACATGATATTTGTTACCAGATATCACATACAGCCCAGAAATAGCTCTGCCAAATTTTATCAAGATCGGTTCAGATTTGGATATATCTCCCAGTTTCATATATCTTCAACCGATATATCTTCAACCGATTTCGGGTTAATTGTGCTCCAAATGGCCCATATAAGTCCGAATGACACATCCGACCGCATTCAGTCTAGGAGCAAGTATGCCGAATTTGTTGAATATCGGTTCAGATCGGTTAGCTATGGCTCCCTTATATTTGTTTCATCCCATTTGGTTTTTAAGTCCTCACATTCGTGACAACAATGCTATTTGTTACCAGTTATCTTGTAAAGCTCGGAAATACCTTTGCACATTTTATCGAAATCCGCTTAGATTTGGATATAGCTCCCATATATATCTTCATCCGATTTCAGCTTTATTGTGCACAAAATGGCTAATATCAGCCCGAATGGACTGCATTTTGGCACTTCCGATGGAATTAAGAAACTGGGGCGTAATTGATTCAGATATAGCTGTAGCTCCCATATATATGTTTCATCCCATTTTGTGTTAAAGCCCCTCATATGGTATTTTTTTCTTATTCAACCGAATTTTTCCATTTGGTGCAACTCGGTCCGGTCTATTGCTCAAATTAGTATTTTTTATTACAATTCTTATCGAAGTCATATCATTGGTATGATTTACTTCACATAAATTTCCAATATAAACTTTTTTGTTACGAGAGCTGTACTAAATACGCATAGTGGTGTAGGGTATTATATAGTCGGGTCCGCCCGACTTTTAATCTTTCCTTACTGGTTTAACACAGATTAGTCTGTATGTGCTAAAATCAAATTTTTGACTCGATTATCAACTATTTCAAAAGGGTTCACAAATAAATTGTTTAATATTAAATCATGATAAATGTGACCTGAATTTTAGTTACAAGAACGCATGAATAGTTACGGTTACAAGAACAACAATAACTCAGAATATGATTCACAGAAGCATAATACCCTGTACCACATATATATTAAAAATATATAAAAGTGCAACAGATGGTGGATTTTCAAACCTGTTTTTAATATACATATTCTCGCACAGTGATATAAATTTATATGCCATTAAAAATGGTTCAGAAAAACGGGATTTGGTGTGTCACTGTACAAATATTCTTCATTTGCAAATTTACACTGGAATTTGAATCACCATCATATTACGTCTGCGCATTTATTTGATTGAAAATAAGATATATTGATGCACATTTTTCTAATAAGCAATACAGCAGTAAGTTGGTAATCGGGATTTCCAGTGAGTTTAACAACACAGCATAAAAAAATCGAAAGAGGTCCACCGTCTTCCTAGTATCAGATATTTTGAAGGTTTTGGCCCTGGAGTTTTAATTTGTGCAAAAAAAAATAGTAGGTTTACATCTTGGTATATCCACTCCGACTCCGGCTCCGAATTTTAGGAAAGTTATAGACTCCCAGTGTATTTCTTATAATTTGTTATTTCGGCATATTTGTTTTGTGGTATATAAATATATTTTATAGCCGTAGTGGAAGTTTCCATAGTATCAATTATTGTCCAAAATTTATCGTATCTGGAAGTCTTATTAATGATTGATGTGTCCTCATTGAAAAAAGACAATCCGACATACATTACAGTCTTCACTCATCTTTATTTAGCTCTAAAAGTGAAAAAGTGTGATTTAAATGTTCATGATCATATGATACTATTATTACGCTTAAAAAAGAACGAACCTGATATTGGGGACGACCCCCATATTAAGATATTTCATCCAAGAAACGAATTACAATAACATCTTCAAAGATTATTTTGTGGCTGACAATCTAGTATGTCACCTCGCTATAACGCGGGAAATTAACCTATTGGAACATTTTTCCTTTTTCGTTTTCTCCCATTTTCACCAAAGACTTTCATTCCGACTATGCACCAGAATCAACTGATTTTGTGAAATATGGAATTTTGGAATTCAATAAATTGTGAAGGCATATTCACGATTTAGAGGGTTTCTAGCCAAAATTGTGTCTTTCTGAATGTACTTTGATATTACATTTTCTCAATAATTTTAAAATTTGGACAGATTTTAAAATATTAAGTATTGTGTATCAAACCGTTTTTAATGTAATTTTATCTCTGGATATTTATTTATTCCAAATTCTATTATATATCCCACACACAGCTAAGAATAAATAAATTGATTATTATTCCAAAATCACATTTAAATAGTTACTTATGCATTCCATACTTTGAATTCATGTCCAATTTTCGTTACTTATAATATTTGACTTTTTCATTTTCAACGTCAAAACGTTTCGGTAGTTGTGTGCAAACCCTTGTCAACCAGATAACGCAATTTATAACAACAACGTGAAGATGTCCAAATAAACAAACAAGAATTTCCATCCACCGCCCCAGCCTCTGCTGCGCAACGAAAATGTCCATACCGAATTTGAGTTGCGACGTGTAATAATTCCTTGGCCCACTTATCTGATTAACAAAATGTAATAACTTTTCAATTTAAGTCCTTCCATTCCCAAAGATAATTTCGGTCCTGTGGTTAAGGTAGATCATTTGCATTTCCATAAGATTTGTTGCGGCCTCTTTGGGGTCCACTGTCCTCCCTTTCGCTGTTCGCACAGATAATTTATGCCGTGAAAACCACAACAATTGACAATGGAGCCAAAATGTGTCACTATCGCTGGTTGCCAGGGGATGTATGGTGCGGTTGGCAAACACGCTTCTAAGGCCGCCATTTTTGTGGAAATATTTTGAAATTTGAAGAGAAATTTATGCAAAAAAAAAAAAAGAAAAAACCGTCCAAGTCCAACAACACAAATCCCAAAAGTTAACATAAACAAGCATACCTGCCAATCCCCTTCTGCCACGTTGCGGCATTAACCAACGGCTACAATCAGTTGTTCGATGTTGTTTTGTTTGTTGGTGGTCAGAAGCGACAACACCAGCGCAAATATTCACAGATAATGGCGACAAATGGCTTGAACTCACTTGCTTACTCGCGCCGAGGACAAGTGGCAGTGGCAAGGACAGGCATGTCCTTTATGCTAAGTAATTTTACTTGTTGGCATAGGTATCTGTTAATCTGTCCCCAGTGTCTTTTTATTACACCTTATTATTACGCAGCTACACTTGGTTGGTTTGTTGGTGGTTGTCGAATGTGGGGGACTTTTCGTTCGTCCATTTGTTTTTACAGCTGTGCAATGTTGGGATGTCAGCAGCAGCAGTAGCAGTAGCACAGCAACGGATAAACAGCCGTGTTGTTTTTTCTTTTTGTGACCAGTTAAGGTCACACTAAAAGCCCTCTAACAAATGTCGCGACATAAAATGTACATTTCAGATATTTAATTTGGTTGGGATTTCTTCCCATATTCCTATTAGTTTTGTCGGTTGCCAGAGAGATAGCAACGCTTGAATTAGCATTCACATCTCGTTGGCATTGAAAAGCCCAGGGTTGAGGGAAGAGGAGGGCAATTTCTTTATTAATTTTTATTTGATAACACTTTAAGGGAAAAACTTTGAAATCTTTTAATGGCCATAAATTATGTTTTTGTGAAATATATTAAAAAGTTTCGCCTGTTTATTTCGTTGTGTTTGGCAAAATAAATCAAATCATTTTCATGATTTACAGGCGAGAAACAAAAAAAAAACAATTTCCTTATAAATTTAACTGAACAATTAAAGTGATGGCGGCGAATACTCTACACGCACACCAGGTGTTGTGGTGTGAATAATACATATAATGGAAACACGAAATAAGTTTTCGAAAGAAGCAAAATATGTACCCTAAACGCAATAATATAATGGAAACGTGAAAAAAGTATTCGAAATTATCAAAATGTGTATATATACAGAGGGCAGGCTGGCGACTTGAAAACGCATGGGATTGCATACAATAAAATTTGTAAATCGCTATCTTTTTGTGCAATTAAAATTTAACAAATTTTTTGATTTCAATCAGTCGTAGTACGATCTTCATTTAGCCAGAATTAAATATTACGAATTATATCACTTCAATTGGAAATTGGGGTGGAAAACTTCGAAATGCTATACTGATAAATACTGTTACAAATAAAATGACCACATTATTTCTATCGCGGTGGGTGAAATAATCGTTTGAGATGTCTAACCATAGACTAATAACGGTGTAG